AAGCCCCGGCACATTTGCCCAGCTGACACACTGACGTGTTGGTGTGTCTTTAGCATTGTTGATGCTAGCATGTAGCTGTCGGACAGTTCTGACAGCCGCCGGCAGTTGGACCGACCTGTGACGAGGACATCTTGGCGATACTCGGGTTACCGTTTTTTATATTGTTGTTTTTTCGGGGTTTGACGTTGGATAATAAATTATTAGTCTTGTTAACCGGCACGCGCTGTGGTGAAACGCGACATTGGATATTGTGGGTGTCGAGGGTCTCAAAGTATGCACGGGTTACCTAAAGCGACCGGCTCTGGCGTGGTGGCGCCACCAATTTTTGACAGGGTGACGAGGTCGTAAAACCATCACGACACTGGAATGATAGAAAAGAATGGGTGATAAATAAAGCGCCTAATAACTGGCTTTCTCCTAAAAGATCGGTGCTAGGTTCGTTCGTTGTCCTATTGCGCGACACCGCGCCGCGGGGCAGGGACTGAGAACCGTAACTTTCAGAAAAACCGTAACTTACAGAAAAACCGGAAATTACAGAAAATGCAGCGCCGGCCTTGTGAATGTTCGTCAGAAGGAACTAATCAAAATGGCTATCTCTCCCCTCCTAACTCGGAATGGCATCGCGCGCTCCAAGCTGGCGGGATTATCTTGAGTATCGCAGCTTCTCAGCACTGCGCACTACCATCCAGGCTAGTTGGCCATAGCAGTGTATAGACGTGAGATGTCCGGTGCCAATTGCCTTGCGGGGTGTTTTTTTCGTGTATTTACCCCAAGTTGCGTCATTGCTTGGCTGCCCGATTCAAAAAGCTTTTTATCGAGGCGTATTGAGAGAGCAAAGTTGGCTCATTATACACCGGCGATAACAGTATCCGAACGACATGCTGTTTGCAGATCACTGAAGTCACATACTCCCTCCAGGTCTGCTTCATCACCATTGGCGGTGCGGTCCTGAGTGCAGCCAATCGTTCTCTCACGCGCCGCACTTGCGCAGGCATGAGCGGCTGCGGCATGACCTGGATCCACTCATTCCAGGCGAAAGCGCTGCTCGTGACTCGCGGGTGCTGCGTTGATCCCCTTTTGCGTCACCATCAAGCGAAACAAATTTTCAGCAGCTGTTGCGCGCTGAACCTGCGCTTAGCTGCGGCTGAACTGGCGAGTAGGGTCATGGGAAGATACAGCAGGTTGACGACTTCTTGGGTGGGTTCCCTTTGCAGGGAATGGCGAGGAACGGATATGAGGGTTATTGCGAAGAAGGGGCATGAGGAACGTTGCGGAGAACGGACAGGAGGGACATTGCAAAGAACGGACAGGAGGGACATTGCGAAGAACGGACATGAGGGACATTGCGAAGAACGGACAGGGGGGACACTGCGAAGAACGGACAGGAGGGACGTGCGAAGAACGGACAGGAGGGACGTGCGAAGAACGGACAGGAGGGACGTGCGAAGAACGGACAGGAGGGACGTGCGAAGAACGGACAGGAGGGACGTGCGAAGAACGGACAGGAGGGACGTGCGAAGAACGGACAGGAGGGGCATTGCGAAGAGCGGACAGGAGGGACATCGCGAAGAACGGACAGGAAGGACATTGCGAAGAACGGACAGGGGGGACGTTGCGAAGAACGGACAGGAGGGACGTTGCGAAGAAAGGACAGGAGGGGCATTGCGAAGAACGGACAGGAGGGACATTGCGAAGAAAGGACAGGAGGGACGTTGGGAAGAACGGACAGGAGGGACATTGCGAGGAACGGACAGGAAGGACATATTTGCCCCTTGTTAAATGGCAAGCGGATGGTTGCTTCTTCACCTCTCCAGTGGCACTGCCCCAGGACGCATGCGGAGTATTGGCATACGCAGCCTCCGCATCACCAGGAATAATATTTTGGAGGCTTGAAAAGAGAACAAATAGATGAAACGCGGTCTTCGGATTACATGAGCAGTTTGTTACAACGTAATGGGCTAAACAAAACACATAGAAAGTTGCGTGCTGTTATACGTAGAGTGGGTTTTTGATCCGTGCCCGACTGATGAAAGTGAAGGGGTACTTGTGACCCCTTTTCAAAAATTAAGTTACCATGAATTTAGGCTGTGCAAATTTCGCTTTCTTTCCTTAGAAAATCGTTTTCCATTATTTTGTATTGTCGATAATAACCCTACGTTATCTACTTTCAAAGTTCAAGTATGTTTGAAAATCGCCTTAGCCCTACTAGCTCGTAAACCGTTAAATGGGGTAGCTGATAGAATATTTTGTAAGATGAACATCGCACCCTTTAAAAGGAAATGATACATTGCTTAGATAAAATGCCACGAAGTCATAACCGCAGTTTGGTGCAACTTCTGATCATAGAGTAGGATGAAGGCGAGACAGAAGGCTGCTCAAAGAGCTGCTTCATTTCTGTTGTGGCCGAAATAATTCAACTTGGAATTTTTGCGCCTTTGGAGGCTCTTTTTATAAGCAGATGGTGTTAAAAGCCCGATTGTAAGACCAGCCAGGTTTTTGTGGGCACCAGCAAACGATGGCATTGCCAGCAAATGCAGCCAAAAACGTCATGATTGTTATTCGGAAGCGAGTATCATTGAATTCCGTTTTCGGAATAGCAAACCAGTATGTCAGGTTTACTCTCTAAAATGCAGTGAAAACTATTGGTTAAGTTCTTGCAAAGCAATCTGACCTCAGCCAAAGCGGTCTTGACAAAGTCGACGAAGCACTGAGTACGTTCTCTTCTATTGTATGGCATTTTCAGCTAAAAAACTTTTTGGGTTCAGACTGTTTGATAAGCACGGTTAGGGCAGAAGCTGTGTCCAAACTGAAACAGCGCAGTGTGAGAGGCTAACTTCTCACTTTGAACGACCTGTGCTTCGGCCAGGTGGCGTTAAGGTTCAAATCGTGAGCATAAATCAATAAGTTTAGATTTTGGGCTTATCCAATTCAAAAACGATATTACGTCAACCATTTCACTGCTTCGAATGCATTACACCCTCCATGCACTCTGCTCTGCTGTGCAAGGTTTCTTACTGGGCCCGATCCTGGCACTGACTTGTACCTAGCTAGTATACAGCGTGTCAACCAGATGGGGTTAGGGCAAGGTCCCAGCTGGAGCTCAGCACGTGCCCAGGCCATACTGATACTCTGATATTTTACCATCATGTGCCCAGCTGGTGCCCGGCTAGGCCGCGGGCAGGCCGCCAGGCCAGGCCGGGCTGCTGCCCATCAAACAAATGCTGTAAGGGCGATCTGGGCCTTGCTGGGCAATCTGTTGCTGCTCATCCAGTCTGCCCGTCTGGAGTCCGACTGGGGTCACTATAAACTGCTGGTTTGGCCTAAGCCGGTAAGCTCACTGAGCATGGAACGCGCACACAAATATAATGACAAAAGTTACTGAAAAGCCAACTCAACTAGCAACGCTGTTACTGACGGGAGTTTCATTCGCCGCATGTTTGAACTGAAGTGGCTGAGGGTCGCTTTCCGTTAAAAAGCACAACCGCTTGGAACAGTGTTCCCCAGAGGTGCAGCTGCCCCGCATACTGTGTGCTTTAAAACGAGCGGGGAAAGGGCCTTCTCAACAGGAGGGTAATTGTCTGAGCGTATTTCGGGGAAAGGTGAGAGCTATACTCTGAAATTATGTGTAGGGAATGCCATTGTTTTGTTTGACATAAACTGAAGTGTCCCACGCTTTATCGATGATATTTTGGTGTGCTCAAGTGGAGGATGTCGACTGGTTGCGGTAGCCTTGTATATATCATTTATATTTATACTCTATTATTGCATCTATACTCTGCTATTTTGAAAACATCCATGGGCACATCACTAGTCATCCAAGCACACGTGGTGGGTTACGCAAATATTTCACTTTTCAGTATCCTGGCGTGGTGCAAGTGCACCCCTTTAGCTTCACAAACCAGGTGCGTACATGAGGAACTGGTTCGAGCTGCCAGGTGTTCATACCTGATTGCCGTGGCTACGAACATGAGCTTTAAAAGCAGGTACTAAATGTAGAGTGATTGTATATATATATATATATATATATATATATATATATATAAATATATATATATATATATATATATATATATATATATATATATATATATGTAATACAAATCGGATCAGAAGCGGATGACATCCTAGACAATTTTGTATCAGTCCTCTTATGCCGACTTCCAACACTCAGCCTCCCATTCATTTTGAGAAATCGACACCCATGCCTGGCGGCATCGTACATGAGTATTTATAGCAATGTACTCCTACCGATGCTAGGGAATTTCATTGTAGTAAGAGTTGGGGACAGGAGCCCATTAGTAAAATCTGTGTATTTTTGTCTCGCCTGCTGAGAAGATTGCTGTAATAGAGGGACGGTCTGGCCCCTCCTTTCCGATGATGGTGGGACGCGTCCCTCATCTTCTCGATGGTGCCGCTCCTGCCCCCCCCCCCCGTCGTAGCAAATTTTGGCCGCGTTCCCGCATTGCAGTATATCCTTTTCATTTCCCGTGCAACGCCGATCATCTCAGCTAGCAATTCAACAAAACAACACCCGCTGCACTAAAGTGGCGGGAACTCGGAAGGAAAAAATGAGGGAAGGCTGGCTTAGAAGTTGTCTTTGGTTTCCTCCCCCCCCCCCCCACACACACTTCGAAATCGTTCCAGCACCATGGCTTGGAGCTCCTTCAGCTCCACTGAAAACTTTACTCAATTGCCCCCGCCCTGGGCAGCGGTACGACTAGCATTTGTTTCCGGGGACGGTAGCCCACTGCGTCTGCTACGAAAAGTTTTCAAAAAAGAAACGCAGAAATAAATTCTACGACCTGTCCAACGAGGGGTGCCTTTTTAGGCATGCAACCACGCTGTGATTCGACTCCGACGTCAAATGTTCATCTCTGGTGTGGAACGCGGCAGCAAACCATCCCAAACCATGCGCACCATTCCGTGACGTCACAGGCAATGACGCTACGTCTTCCGGCGCTCCGATTGGGTCGAACCCTCCAGAGCACGCGAGTCGGGTCGAGCGGAGTGGAGGTTTGTGGTGCTGCCGCGTGAGCTCTCGCAGTTTCCTGCGCCGGTTATAACGGGTCTGTGCGGCGATGGAGGGTCATTCTCGTGCTGGAGACTACAGAGACGGTAGTGGTGATAGTGATTTCTTTGACCGAATGAAGAATAACTGGGGACGAGAAGCGGACATGTTTTTCGACCAAGACGCGCGTGCTCCGGGTTGGGGAACAGGATTTTCACGTGGAGGGATGTCTATGGTAAGTAGACTCGTCCTCTTGCTGCTCACCGTATTGCATCTGGTCTGGTCCTTCAGTGGTCTGTTCTGTACCATGTCCTTCGTTTTCACCAGATTGCCCAGGCACATGACATGAATCGGACAGGCTGGCAACGCTAGGTGTAATGCTGCGCATGGGTGGATGATCAGGGGGAAGAGGAGGGCAGGGGTTTAGTTTTCTTTTTATTGTGGCCTCAGTCCCTGCCCTCTCGGGGTTCAGCCCCTCCCCCATTTTTGACAGAGGGCCAAATCCAGGAATAAATCGTGCTTTTGCTATTTCAGGGGTTGACATATTTTTTTTGATTGTTTAGCCCGCCCCCAACTCATTTCGCAAAATTACATCCTCGGAGACGGTTGCGAAACCACGGACGTCCCCGACGTTGGGGTCGGTGGGGTCCTGACTTTGTAGTCCCAGGAATTTGTAGGCCGGCAAACCGAGTTTTGTTTTACCTGGACAAGAAAGTGTCCGGGCCGACCGGACGAGCGTAGCATCTGGGGTCTGTGTGTCTCCCTACCGCGTGCGCCCAACAGCGTGCGCGAGAGGCATACCGAGCATACCCAAAAGATGATTTAAAAGATGGCCAAATCATACTAATTATGCACCTGAGGGTTACGGACACCACCGTGTGACTATTTTAAGGCCAGAAGTTCAAAAGGCAGCCGTAAAGGATTGCAGGCTGCTGGACTCAATTCGAATCGTGACATGCAGTGGTAAATAGTGTGATGACGGGATGAATTGGCGGATTCAGACGTGATTATGTTCCAGATAAAGATTGGGGCGCGCAGAGCCGGTTGCTCCGACGGGGTTGTGCTGGTACCGTAATTGTGATGGTCCCCGTGCCGCGCAAGATACGTGCGCGAACTGCGAGACGATGCACGTCCTGAAGAGCCGTTGGTTCGCTCCCGCTTTCGTCTTCTCAAGTGTTTCGAGTCGTAGTCAACAATAATCTTGTAGTCGAGCGAAGCATTCTCCGGGCGTATTGATTCAGTCGGCATCGGGCGGAACAACACAGTCGACGAGACTGGCTGCTCGCTGTTTGACCTCTGGCCATGCCTGGCGACAGTGCATTGGCACTATCGATTCGCGCCAGCCCCCCCCCCCCCGTCAGCAACCCCACTACCCAAGGTCAGCGTGGTCCAGGCACGTAGCCAAGAAGAGTACCTTGGGAGCCAGTCCCCCTTCCCGCTCAGCGAAGGGGGTTTCACCCGGTGCTTGAATTTGCACAGAGTTAGGACGGAGTTGGTCATTTACCTCACCCCCCGCCCCCTCCCCCCGCCCTCTCTTGAGGAAAACGCTGGATACGAACCTGGCGTAGTCAGCTGACTGGGGGCGGGGAGTTGGTGGCTCGCCGCCTTTCAGGTGATTTGGATGGGGGAGGGGGGACGACAATGCGACCCGCTGACCTTTGCCAAGGTGCGCACCCCTCCGCAGCGTTTGTGTGAGAGATCACGGTCTTGTGGATGACCTCCGGTAAAATTGGGTGTGGACGCTGACGTCGTCGAGCATCTTTTATTGTTCAACTAATGGAATTGAAGGAGCTTCAGTAGCGACAGGTGCGTTCTCTTCCCACTGCTATTTACGCGCGTGACTTCTAGCTTTTGGTCACCTCATTGGCACAAAACCCCGGCCAAATCTTTCCATCGCGAACTTCAGCCTTATCGTGGATTCCAGACGCGGCACGCCCACCGCTCGCCCACACCAGCCGGTACACTCCCGAACCGTGACGTCACATGACCTTTGATTCGGCGACCTGTGCCGGCGAGCGTGTGTGCCAAGTTCGAATCGGGCCGATCGAGATGTCAGTGGCGTTCGCTCACAGAGCCCACGGCTTCTGCATGGTTGGTACGCTGCGACGGCTCGCCACCGTGCACGCACCTGGGGACCCCCTGCCCCTTTTGGCCTTTCTCTTCAATTCCGTTGTTCTCGCTCTCCGCTTCTCACATTGTGTCTGCGTCGTTCTTCACCCCGCTATCCGCCTTCTTTGGACTTTGATCTAGTTTCCTGCTCGTCTTGCGGCTGGTCTCCATCTTCCACCCATTTCCTTATCTCCCATCGTTGCCTCCGTGGTCTTCGCGCCCCCCTCCAACCGTCCTGATGTCTGTTTTCCTTGCCCTGCACTTTCGAAAACGGCGCCTGCTCTGTAACCCAGGGGTAGGGCGGCAGGACAGAGCGATGCAGCGGCACGCGCTCTGCCTCCCAGACACCTGCGATAGCCTCGCCAGACCCTCAGGTACGCAGTTGCGTGATGGAGCCACAGGTGCGCGGAATTTGTCAGAGGTCGGAGGGGCGTCTCCACCGAGGCTGGCGTCAACACCAGCCAGGGCGTGAGAACGGCGACCTCGGCTGATGAGAAGCCCGGCCCTCTGTAGCGCGTTTTAGTTGATTTTTGAAATGAGTCTCGCGTGTATAGGGTTTGTGTCGTAACGTCCATCGTTCCGTGGGGAGATCATTATTTCATGTCGTATTGATGCGTCGGACGATGTCGACGGCGGCGGCATTTCCCAGCAGCAGGTCCCCAGGGTCTGTAATGGCGAAATTTGCTGTGATTCGCCGGCGCGCATACACCATGACCGGTGCGCAGTGTCGCCCCTCCGTTCACTGCCGCGCGATTCTAACCTCTCCTGACACCGCCGCCGGGCGCCATGTTTGGGCACGCCCAGTCGTCTCGGCCGTCGGCGGGCACGCCCGCTCGTTTCTCGGGCGCTCGCGTGCGACCCACGCCGGCCCAGCGCCCCCGGCGGTCTGAATGGCTGACCGGGGCGGCGCCCTGTTAGTGTTGGCAGGAGGTGCGGCGCCCGGCTACAGGCAAGGGCGTGTGGTAAACACTCAGAACATATCTGAACAAAAGTTGCAGCGCTGCACGCGTTTGTCGTTGGTAGGCTCTCCCGGTTTCCCTTGTGGATATCGTGGTTTGGCAGATCTGGCGGTGACGACACCAACTATCGGGTCCATCAACTTAGATTGCAATTATTGGGATTTTACCTTTAATCGCTAAACATTGCTGGCTCCACCTGGTTCAGTCGCTCGTCGTTCTGTCTTTTCTCGGCAGGTTCAACAGTGGGTCCCCAGTGCGTCCCCAGTGCGTCCCCGTTCAGCCACGCGTGATCTCCGATGATGTCTATGTTTGCATGACGCTCAGTCAGGGGCGTACGCGAGGGGGGGGGGGGATGGCGCTGCCGGCTCGTGCCCCGAACACGCGATGTTGTTTTATGCCACTCAAGAAGTTGAGCCCATTTGAGCGTCATAATTTGTTTTTCATTGTCAAATTTTGGGTTGCGCCCTTACCTTTTGCGAAGTCCCACGGACACTCCTGCACCTAGAGTTAACCTTGTCGGCGAAAACTATTCAAAACAATATACCCTGTGCTTTCCTTGAAATATCGATGACCGAGGGGAAAGGCAATGTCATGGCATGGCGAAATGCTTCCAGCCCGCTAGGGGTCCATTGGGACCGTGCCGCTCGTGGAACTGGAATGTACCGCGATTGCCAACATCAGCGAGCGCGCCCTTGAGCGCACCCTGACCTCCACCGTGCTCGATCCCCCGGCCCCGCGTCGCCATCCTCGGGCCCCGCGGTCAGCGGTCGGTGGCCGTCATCGGCGTCCTCGGTGGCCGCCAGCCAGGTGCCGACATCGCGTCGATCTGTTGGTCCCGTTGCGCCGGCTTGCGTGGGCGGCTGGCGGCGCGCCTCCGTCGCTGCCGGGGCTGGCCAGGCCTGGCGGCGGCGGCGGCGGTGCTCCTGAGTCACGACCGCCGAGCTCAGTTGGCGCTGCCGCTGGTGGGCAGAGGCCGCCGCTGCGGCAGGTGCTGCGCTCGGACAGCGCGCGTCCGCCCCAACCGGCCCGGCCGGCATTCCCGAGAACCGTGACTGGGTCTCCGTGACTCGTGACGGGCGTTCGTGACCCGTGAGGGACGTTCGTGATCCGCTCGTCACCTTGTCATTGACCTGCGGAGGATCCGGATGATCTGTGAGCGGTCGCGGTGATCTGTGAGTGGTCTCCGGCCCGGCTCGTGCGTGTCTGCGCCGACCTCAGAGCCAAAAATGTGGGAAAAACGAGTGGATGGTGGATCCCGAGGGTAATACATCCCGAACCGTCTGCTTTAAGTCAAGGAAGTGACCTAACGGGGTCAGCTACCTTTGGTGGGGAGTGGTTGTTGCGGGCGCAAGTGTTGACGGTTTTCTGAGCGCTTTCCGCGACCACCCTGATTAATATGACAAGTGATAAGCCACTGACAAATTTATGTAAACGGCTGACAGCTGTTTGAAACAAAAAATTGTCAACTTAAAATTAAGTATCGGATTTCGTTTCCGTCCTCGTACCGCAGCTGATAGCCTGACTAAGTGGGCTGCAAAATAGTATTTACGGTGTACTTTCACCCGAGTCATTCACAATGTCAGCCTGTTCTGCGTACAGCTTCGGCTGCGTGTCTCGCGCTGTGACGTCTCCCCGCGCCGTCTCAGCGCCGGTCATCCCGTTCCGCCGCCGTAACCGCGCCTCTCCGACGTTGCAGGGCCCCGACCCGGAGATGGAGGAGATGCGCGGCCGCGCCCGGCCCAAGTTCCGCAGCTTCGACGCGCTGCGGCCGGGCGTGTTCGCGCCTCGCCCCTTCCAGCGGGAGCGCCGCACCTCGGGCGAGCCGGCGCCGGCCGAGGCGCGCCCGGCCGCCACCTCGGGCCGCCGCCTCGGCCGGGCCGGCGCCCGATCACCGCGAGCGTATCATCCCGATCCAGATCGAGCGCGACGATGTCGACGCCGGGGCCCCGGCGGCGGCGGCGGCGGCGCCCGCGCCCGCGCCGGCGGCGGGCGCGCTCGCCGCGTCAACAAAAGCGCTACACGCGGCGCGAGACGCTGGACACGCCCGTGACGCAGCTGCTCGGTGAGGAGGAGCCGCAGCGGGACTTGCGCGCGCGCAGCTGCCCGCCGCAGCCGGGCGGCGAGGAGGCGCAGGCGGCGTCGCGCGTTCCGCCGCTCAACATGGCGCCGGCGGCGGCGGCGCAGCGCGATGAGGCGGCGCGGCCGCAGCACAAGCCCAACTACTTCAACTCGTCGCCGAAGGCCGTTCTCGTCGGAGCCGCGGCCGTTCCAGGCGGCTGCGGCGTTCGGGCGCGGCTGGCCGCCGGCCGCCGAACAAATTCCGATCCCTGTGCACGTGGAGCGCGGTGGTGACGCGCGGCGCCCGCCCCAGACGGCGCCCAAGCCCGCGGCCGGCCACGGCGCCGCAGCCCAAGCCGCAGCCGCAGCCTGAGCCGGAGAAGGAGCGACCGCCGCCGCCGCCGCCGGCGAAGACGCCCAAGGAGCGAGCGATGGAAAGGATCGGGACCGTGCGGGACGATGTGGCCCAGCTGGCGAGCCAGGTGGACGCCTTCACTGGCACGAAGGGCGAGAAGCAAGTACATATTCCTCGACGAGATGCTGACGCGGGAGCTCATCAAGCTGGACGATGTGGAGACTGGCGGCGACGACGAGGTGCGGACATCACGAAAGGACGTCATCATGAGCATCCAGAACTGCCTGGGACGGTTGGAGCGGCAGAGCAGCGTTGCAGCGGCGGAGCAGACCGCGGGCGAGCAGCCCAGTGAGACGGAGCAGCTGCCGACGGGCTGAGAACGCGAAGGCGGGCAACGACTGAGGCGGAGGCGGTGATGGAGGCTGAGGGTGGCCGAAAAGCCGGTGGCGCCGCCGGCCGAGGGGGCGCGCAACCGCCGGCTGAGGGGGGCCAGCCACCGACCGAAGGGAAGCAGCCGCCGGTGGAGGTGAGCCAGGCGCCGTGCGGCGGACACTGCTCGCAGGAGGCAGTTCATGAGGCCACCCAGGAGGCGCCGCAGAACACGGCACAGCAGGCATCGCAGGAGACTGCCCAGGAGACGCCTGAGGAGGCCGGTAAAGAATCGCCACAGGAGACGCGTCCGGGGGACGGTGGCTGCTGTGGGAGAACGCTCCGCCGCCGCCCCCGCTGCGGCTGCGGCCGCGGCCGAGCCGGAGACGGCCGCCGCCGTCCTCTGCCACCGCTGCCACCCCGCGCCGCTGCCACCGCTTCGCTGGCCGCTGCCGCTGCCAACCGCGGAGACCATGGGCCAGAGCTAGCGGCGCCGGCGGCCGCTAGAGTGATCCGAGCCAGGCCGCTGGTGCGATTGAGCCAGGCCGCTAGAAGTGATCGAGCCAGGCCACTAGAGCAAATTGAGCCAGGCCACTGGAGCGATCTGAACCAGGCCACTGGAGCGATCGAAACCAGGCTGTTTAAAGCGATCCGATTCAGACACCGGAGCCGATCCAAGCCAGGCCGTTGGAGCGACGCCAGGCCCCGCTGACGCCGCCGAAGCTATTCATAGCCGGCGGCGCAGCCGCGCGGGGTGCGAGGAATGTCCGAGCTGTGACTTGCAGTCGGCGTTGTGGTGGCCAGCCGGGCGGATGAGGCGGGCCGGGAGCCGGCGACGCGCGCCCGGGCCGGTCTGACCGGCGGCAGGGTCGGGTCCGGGCCGCCGACACCGGCGCTCGAGACAGCTGGTCACTCAGCGCCCGGACGGTGCTAGTCGAGCCTCGTGGAGGGCGTCGTGCGGACGCCCCGGTTGTGATGATCTGTACTGTGTGTGAGGAGGAAGGCTTGCGAGGCTACCAATCAGCTGTTTTACTGTGGTTTCCTAATGTACGTGCGCGCTGTGGTATTGTTTGCTGTTGATAATACGAATAAACATTGTGGTACTCGTATTCCGTGCTCAGCTCTCCTTACGTTCGCCACCTCCCCCTGAAGGACGAAGCAGGGAATCGGTGAACATCCAGAACAAAGAGGGATGAGCCCTCATTTTGTAGGCTTGCGCACGGAAACTCCTGTGATATCGATGAGGAAAGCAGCAGCCGCAAGGCCCGTGCAAACTGACAGCATTTGAGCAGATAGCACACCAACAAGCCGCATGTCACGGTCACGGATGCTCGCACATAGCAGGCCCGTCGTGGTTTGGTCGGCTTGCGTGGGCCGAGCGATGCAGCCTTGCAATGCGGGTGCTTCCGCGAGTGCTGCCGACTACCTATGGTCGCAGATCCGCTGCTGCTCTCGCCCATTTCGTGCCTTGCATATTTGGTCGACGCTAGTTCGATCCCCGCGTCTTCTTCATAAGCGGCGAGATGGCGCGCGGTTGTTGCCTGTGACGTCACAGGTGGGCTCGTTGCGACAGGTCCCGCGTTTTGCACATGCGGTCATCCGTGCGTGACGTAACCACCGATGACATCATACGTACCTGTCGCACTTGAGCACTTGCCAGTGACGGACTGCTTGGCCTTTGTGTGTGCACAGTCCATGCCGATTACCAAAAAAGGTAAGTCAAAAAGCCCGTGCGCTTTGTAATCCTTTCAGGAAGTGACCGTCCTCACTCTCGGCGCAGCCAGAGTTTGTACAGCGATTGGGCTGATGCGGGACGCAAACACTCCGAGCGTTCCAGGCGATGACGTCATCGTGAGGTCCGAGGTGTGAACGGGAATAACCGCGTACCTGGCCCACAGGCGGGGGCCGGCCCGGCTTCCCATATTGAGGCATCGCATCCCAAAACTAACACGCAAAACCAGCTGAACGAATGAGAGCAGGATCGTGACGTCTCATTCCTGACGATGCTGCAGATCGTTAGGACTTCTTCCACGCCGCTCCATGTCAGGCCACGGGTTGGATGGAGCCTGATTGCATACGCCACATTGGCGTTTGCATTAGCAAGAATTCAACCACGAGCAAATTTACCACACGAACTCCGTCGACAATCCCACGCAGTCCAAGAAGCAGCCGCAGGAGTGGGGTTGGCTGGGTTGATGTCAGGATGCACGGGGTGGACGCTGGTCTTCACGAGGCACGGAACGCTCAGAAACGACAAGGCCTGTTACCATATATTGAACGACCACAAAACGAACTGCGAGTGTCTTGAGGGGTTTTGCGTATAGATGTTTTTGGACCAGGACTGTGGCCTCCTATTCGATTGGGGCGGCCTAAGCCGTCCGAACTCTGAGAAGAAAAGTGGGGTGAATCAAGGAATATCTAGCTTTTGCCTGTTGTGCATTTTGGGTAGTTTCAGCCATTCCATCTCGCCAGTTTCACAGCCATTCCATTCCCCCGTTTGTTTAAAAAAACCAAGCCCTGTATTAGATATGTGGTATTGTGAGCACGTCCCGTACCAAGGGAGCAATCAATACGTTCGTTGGTTGTCTAGCACGATTCACACATTTTTGCATGTAGCTGGTAACTGTTTGCATGCGTCGGCGTGCGCGAAAGGAAGTGAAGCCACCGAATATTTCTAGCGTTTGAATTGAATGCGTCTTCTGTTCTCAGGAAGATCACGATTGGTGACGTGTCCCGAAATCGTTGCAAGGCGACAAAGTAAGTTTAATATATATATATATATATATATATATATATATATATATATATATATCTCTCTCTCTCTCTCTCTCTCTCTCTGGCTTTTACGTGAGACCACGTAGAAGCCAGCCCTATCATATCTTATGATTTGCCATACATATATATATATATATATATATATATATATATATATATATATATATATGAGACATACGGCAAATCATAAGATATTGACAGGGCTGGGCTTCTACGTGGTCTCACGGGGCAGCGCACAACCAGATGCCATGCCTGGAGGCTCGAAAGACACCATGCTCCCATATCACGGAACCAATACCGGCTCCTGGATCCATCCTTGGCATCCAGGCACATGCCTAGTCAGAAGTGAAGCTTCCTGTTCAGTTGGGTGGGCTCCAGCCACACACCCCTCTCCTTCCCCAGATTGTGCCTCAGCCCCCAACTTTGAGAAGAAAGTGAGCCAATCAGGGAAGAAACCCATTGTTTAGCGCATTCAAGGAAACAGTCCCGCTGTTTTTTAGTACTGCTCAGCCCCCCCCCCCCCCACTCATTTTCTGAAACTGCGCGTTTGCGTCTGGTCACAACGACCGGTGTGATCTCACGGTCAGCGCTATAATTCAAGGTCATGGAGACCTGGCATTAAATCCTGGCGCCAGGTAGGTGGTTCGGAATAAAACTATTAGTCGGCAGATAAATCGTTTTTTTCGGACTGGCGGATGAACACCCGAGAGAAGATCCACCAGATGATGTCAGCGACAGTTGGTCCAAAAAACACAGCTTCGCGAATCGTCAGGAAACGGCGTCGATGGATGGCTTACAGCGTCACCTAGCGAGCACAATATATAAGCTTTAGTGTTGTGCGTACGGAGCTTGCGCTGCTGGAACAGATTGTCGGGGAGTCGAATATGATTTGTTTGGACTGCGTTTTTTTGTGAATTTTGGGGGGCTGCGTGACCAGCATTCCTCCAGGAGGACGCCAAATTGGGGCATGAGGGCATCTGTCAGCCAAGGGCGCGTGGCACAACAGGGGGGGGGGACAGGGGGAGCAAGAGTATGGGTTCGCACCCCTAGAATGTCTGGGAGGCCCTTTTTCCCAAAACTTAAGGCATTTCAGCTATCCGTATATTTCCAAAAGTATTCAGCCTCAGCTTCGAAAGATACGGCCACCTCCAGGGTGTCATAATCTCTCTTCGAACTATCTACATTATTCTTGAGCTCTACTTACAACACACGTTCGAGTGTCTAACAGCGGTGATCAGCTCTCGCGGGTAACCACCGGACGGAGAGGCACTTATTCAAGGGGCGAAGAGCGTTCCATGTTTATAGGGCGCAGCCAGCGCCCTCGCAAGGGGAGGGCTAGGGTTGACAAAGGGCTCCATGATGGTGGAAGGCCCCGCAAGAAAATCGCCAGATTTGACCACTTGATTTCGAACGGGCTCGATTTTCGTCGTTCTATTTTCATTTTAAACTTTGTTAGCTGGAACAGAAGCCAGAGGAGGTACCGGAAGAAGCAATTCTGTTTGTATTTTGAGGTTAATAAAATGAAGGAGTCGGACGTTAAAAGGGTGCAAGGAATAAACCTCCGGCGCTATTCATTTTGCAATTGTTAATTGGACTCTTACACCGTACACCGATAGCTATGAGATCCAAAGGCACAATCAGAATTGTGTCTGGGATGTACAGAGATATTGAGGATTCTGCGGGCATTGAGTGACTAGATCAAATGGAAATTAAAATTTGTTTTAGCATCATTAACCCATGTTCGCCTGGAAATAATCCGCCGCAGTCACAGGCAGTGTTTGAAACTTTGGTGTTTCTTGGTGTTTTCAGCCCCAAGACATTTTGCTCTCCACAAAGATACACTGGAAATAATTTTCAAAAATTGTTCTCTGTGAGCGATGTCAGAAGAAGGCAAGCTGGTCCTGCAACTTCGACAGCAACGCGTGCCACACTCACGACTAAACGAGGGACACTGCTGGCGGGTTACAGCCGAATCTTTCTACCACATCACACGCAATCTTTTCTTGCAATGCACGTAGTGCCCAGGTCCGTTGCTGGTCACCAGCACACGCTCCACCCACGCACCGTCCAACTACGACACCGATGCGCTCAGACACCGGGTCCGAGCCCGCACTCAGAACAACAACAGCCTCTCTTGACGGGCCGGGGAGAAGCGCAGAAAACATCTCGTACATGTCATGATTCACCGTTTCTGAACTGCACGCAGAAATCATTGTAACAAAATACAAAATTA